GAAGCCCGAGGCAGAGTTGCTCTGCCCCAGGCTTCCTGGAATCAGCGCTCATCAGTTTCAGCAGCAGCTGACTTGGGGAAGCTTGGGGTTCTTAAGTTGAATCTATGTAAGTCAGAACTGGTGGTCAGTTTCAGCAGCGGCTGAATCTGGACGCCAGTTCCGATTTACATACAGATTCAACTTAAGAACAAACCTACAGTCACTATCGAGGCAGAGTTGCTCTGCCCCAGGCTTCCTGGAATCAGCGCTCATCAGTTTCAGCAGCAGCTGACTTGGGGAAGCTTGGGGTTCTTAAGTTGAATCTATGTAAGTCAGAACTGGTGGTCAGTTTCAGCAGCGGCTGAATCTGGACGCCAGTTCCGATTTACATACAGATTCAACTTAAGAACAAACCTACAGTCACTATCTCGTATGTAACCCGGGGACTGCCTGTATTCCTTGAAATGGAGACGGCGAAAATAGGCTTCCAGATCATCGCAGAACTGTATCATGTTACTGGGGTTGGTGGGGCAAAAAGAGAGTCCCCGAGATAGAACGGACTCTTCTGCCGGGCTGAGTGTGTAGCTGGAAAGATAGATAATATTGCTGGGTGAGTTAGGGCCCCATGTTGTGGCCCCATGTGGCAGGTAGGATTTTAGACAGCTTACAGTCCTTTTTCCTCTGTAGAGAAGTGGAGTGTGTAATGTAGATCTCCTGTCTTATTTTAGTAAGTTAAAATCCATTTGTGGGGAAGGTTGGTTTTTTATGAGACTCCAGATTGAAGAGGTCATTTTTGATGTTTTCCTGTTTGCTGTACAGGATGCTGATCAGGTGGTTCCTCAGTTTTTTAGATAGTGTATGGCATAATCTCTCTCTGTAGTCTGTGCAGCATGTAGATAGTATTGGATTTTTCACCTTCAGTCCATTTGGTATGATGTCCATCCGTTTGCATTTGGAGAGAAAGATATCTGTACTTGTGCAAGTTTCTTCATGAGGTTGATAGATTTCCACTCCATATGGCTAAATATAGTGCCTTGCATGGTGTCAAGTATCAGAGGGGTAACACGGCTACCCCTCTGATACTTACACCTATTTCAATATTCATTTTTAAACTGGAGATATTAAATTGTAAATTTGGAAGATTTTGAAAATATATCATGTAACATTTCTCCACTGTAATAGAAATCAGACTCTTAACAAATCACAGTTCTTATTGCTGAGTATGAACACTGTAAATAACTATACAGGCAGTCCCCGGGTTACATGGATCCGACTTACATCGGATCCCTACTTACAAACGGGGTGAGGCAACCCCACACTAGCTGCTTCCCCCCAGCAGACCAGGGAGACGTGGAGCGGCTTTTCTCAGCAGACACCTCAGCTTGAGAATAAAGGACTGAGGGAAGTGAGGTGTGGGAGAATAAAACTGAGCTCTGGAGAAATGTTTGGCTAGAGTTTCCCCTACAATATGTACCAGTTCCGACTTACATACAAATTCGACTTAAGAACAAACCTAGAGTCCCTGTGTTGTACGTAACCGGGGGACTGCCTGTAGTCTTCATGAATGAGGGTATTAGAAATTATATTGATTTTATCCATTAATACCCCTTTTCCAAGAGGATGTCTCTCTTCAAAAGAAGATCCATATCTACAAAATATAACTTATTAAATGTTATTTCCAAAGTTCATATTTGTGGGTACCAACAAATAATTTTGTACATAAGCTGTGAAATACTTATTTTTATATATGTCATTGCTAATTTTGGATACACAGTTAGCACCCTCCTGCCAGTGTAAAGAAGACTAGCTCACAGACATTTACCTTCCCCTCCCCCCATCCCCCTTCTGTTCTGAAATTTGATTTGTCCTTTTCATATGTGTTCATTTTTTTAATTGTATCCTTTGGTATATATGGTTGTGACAATTTTCTTCCACTATTTGATCTGAGGAAGTGGGTCTGGCCCACGAAAGCTCATCACCTATTAAACCATCTTGTTAGTCTCTAAAGTGCTACTCAGTCCTGTTTTTTGTTTCAGCTGCACCAGACTAACACGGCTACATTTCTACCACTATTGTAGATAGTGAACGTTTGCCAGCACTTTGGAATTCTTTTCAGTATGTTTACTATGGTCCTCAGTACAAACATACAGAAATTTTGGTGGATTTAAGAATTTGCATCTCAGAATACTTCAGCATTTACTACAATAAATAGATATTTTCTTAACTTTAGATTTTAACACTTCTGTTTCTCCCTCCCTAAAATAAACGTTTTTTATTTCTCCAGAGTTTCAGATGATTATGTAAATGCAGTGTCTCTTTTCTGCGTACCTCTTATCACGTTGCCTGATGTGACTCCTCTACTGGAAGCACTCCTTACCTATCATGGAGGTGGATCACAAGAAGTTCTCAGCTCAGAGTTTTTAGAAGCTGTGAATGAGACATTTTTAAAGTAAGTAACATAGACCATAAAGATTATGCCTTCTTACTAAAAATAATAGTAGCTGTGTTCAGTTGAAATTAATATTTGGTGAATTTTCAGGCTGGATGCATTGAATAGCTACTCTCTTCTAACAAAATATTTTCTTTTTGCCTAAATAGCAGAGCTGAAGTTGGAAGGAAAATACCGATTTCAGATTTCTGATGGGCTATTTCATTTCTACTTTCCCTTATAATATGTACTAGGCATTGTTATTGTCATTGTCTTTGTTTTTTAGATTTTGCTTTTCATTGAGAGTTTGTATCTCTTTGCCATAAATGTGCTGGATCTTTCCTAACTTTAGAAATTACAGCTCAGGATTTAATTTTGTGTCCTTGCATACTAAAAATCTGTGTTATATTCTTGTCTTTGTGTTGCTCAATAGTTCCCATATTTGTTGAGAACTTGTTTCTTGACATTTTCAAGTCTTGTATCTCCCAGCAGATTATTTTTAACTAGACTCTTTCTTGAATAAAATTATGACATGTAGAATTGTTTATACTTCTGCCATCTTGGTGGTCCAGTTTTTGCAAGAGAATAGCTCATGGAGGAAGAATAGCCGATTGAAGTTGAACCTGAGCAAGAGAGGTGTGATGTTAATGAGGAGAGAAAAAATACTATGGGAAGTTTGTAGTTGCGATGCATTCTCCTTTGGTTGAAGGTACATACCCACAACTGATCATTTCAGTCCATAGGTTAGGAATGCTTTTGGATTTCATGATGAGGCTAAGCGCTCACCTAAGTGTCCACAAGTAGCTTTCTACAATCTCTGGTTAGCAAGGAGACTTCATCCTACCTTGGCAGATGATGACTTGGTTTCAGTTGTACAGGCATTTGTCATCTTTCAGCTGGACTCACAACAATGGTAAATACATCTGAGCATGAAGCCATCTTAGGAAATTCCAGCTAGTACAGAATGCACCATTATATCTCCTAAGCACTGTGGGCTACTGCAAGCACATCAGACCTGTCCTCTGTTCTTTATGCTAGCTTTACATATAATATCAAGTCTTACTGAAAACCTCAAACCTGATTTTCAAGGCACTCAGGATCCTGGGTATGGATATCTTTTAAAATATCATTTGAAAGTCCAGGTGGACAACTCTGCTCCTCAGGTACAGTGGAGCTGTACATCACAAGGGTAAACTTTATCTCTAAAGGAAATTTTTGGAGATTTTTAGAGCCAGTCATAGATTGCAGAACAAATTCCTATAGAACTAAGGATTAGCACAAACCCCACAGGCTTCCTTTCCAGGGCAGATGGAGGGTCTGTGGCTCCTCATGGCTGCCTGCGTTGATCTTACCCTGACCTTGCTCCTGTTTCCTGGCTGGCTGGGGTGGGAGGGCGGCACTGGGCCTATGATATGTGGACAGGACAGGCCCATCCACTCTCCAATAGAATCTTTGAGACCTGGTGATTTAACTTTTGAGTCTGGACTTTCACGGTGTCTACTTGTGGTCTTGAATATTTCTTCCATTTCATGAAACTACACCGTTGAAATGAAATCTCTGGGCCTTATTTTAAAGATTTTAATGTGACTTGTATTTAATCACTTTTTGTGTAGACCACTGAAGAAGACTATATTCATACTTAAGCCCGAATCTTCACATGCTGAATGTTCCTCTGAACACAGCAGTGTCTTGCAGGGGCAACTGCTGCTCCTCACAACCCAGACTAATAATTCTTTCTCCTTTCTGCATCTCATGAGACCAGATATCTTAGAACATTCCTGTGATAAAATGTTTGTGTGTTTTGATTGGAGAGAGGAATCCTTTTGTGAGCACAAATGAGGGTCCTTATAATTTATATATAGAAACAACTTCTATGTGATGTTTGTTCATATGGTAAGCAGATTCTTGAAAAGTTTGATCTTGGAAGTAGCTTAAGGAAGAGGGTCATTCAGTGAAACTGAAAGATTTTGTCAACTAAAATATAAGGTTCTAGACCTAACAATGATTATAGTATCCTTCACCTATGTTTTCTAGAGAGAAAAGGGTGTTTTCTTCGGATGCACTGAAGCCTTTGCTGGAGCCTGTCTAATACATTTGAAACTTTTTGCTCATCTGTCAATTATAATGTATGTCTGCACTAAACTGAGCATAATCTAAGGCTGAAATCGCTGGGCATTTTCTGCCATAATAGATGATAGAAGAAAAAGTAGCTGTTACTCTAGACACAATGTTTTCTGAACCAATCCTCAGGCTGTCTGAAGTGTTTTATAAAAGCCAACAAAAGAAAACAAAATCCTCCTCCCTGAAATTTCCAGTTATGGCAGTTATGTAACTTTTAAAAGACATTTTTGGAAATGATGAATTCCTCATATATTTAAAGGATCCTCTGAGAACCTTCTTCCCAATTCTCCTCAAAGTACCTATGATAGCCCGAAGAATAAATTTAGATAAGGAAGGCTGGACACTACTTCCTCTGGAGCCCATCAGTATTGTTTGAGTGGTTCAGATGAGATTGCTGAAGTTGAACAAAAGTCAAATTTTCCTCAAGGAGCCTAGTAATAGCAAAATAAAATGTTGCATTGGTAGTTAACAACTTCTAATTTATCTTTGTACATCACATAATCTTTTAGTGGCTCAGTTTCCCCATTTGTAAAAAGTGGGTAATAATTAGGAATGTGCTTTCTCCTAAAATTGTAGAAAAGTATGTATATGTGGAATAATATTTGTCTTGATATTCAATTATTTTAAATATTTATTCATTTCATGGCTCAATTTGTAGAAAACAATATTTTCCCATTAACTCAGGAAGAAGATTGCCCTCTCTGAATCAGCTATCATAAGCTTGTGGCTTCGTCATCTGCCTAGCCTTGAAAAAGCAACACTGCATCTTTTTGAAAGGTTGATTTCCACTAAGACAAGTTCACTGGAAGAAGTAGCATGTATCGTAAAAGATTCATTACTGGTATGTACTGTGGTTAATATATGACATTTTTTATACTGCAGAATCTCCAAATATTTCTCTCCTGTACAACATCACTGAAGTCCCACAACTTTATGGGGTGGAGTAGCTGTTGTCAGGTGGATAGCTTAATTACATTAGAGGAAAGAGGAGAAATTTTTGGACTGAATACCGTGGTAAATCCCTACTCTAATGAAATATGTTAAAAAAGTCCTCAAATAATAGGATGCCATGGCATGAAAATCTTCATCCACAGACCAGCAGAAGATAAACAGAAATGGGGTCTGATTTTTCTGAGGTGTTGAGCACTCAATTTTCCCTTTCAAATTGTAGAAAAAATTCCGTTTGGGGACATACTCAGATCTGTCTCAGTTTGTATCTAGTATTCCATGTAGTTAAAATATTGAAAAGGCAATGGTTAAATTGCTATATTGGGTCCTTATGGATTATTGAGTTTTGGGGATACACATTTACTTTCTTAAATGAAAACTCTTGAGCAAAGAGTTATTAATTGAAAACACTATAACCAATTTAGATTTTTAAAACAATTATTCTATTACATAGTACACCAATTCCATCCAACAGATTTAGACATGTATAGTGATTTGGCACCTGGTTACCTGAGATGACAAAGTCTTCCATTAACAAAAATAGTAATAAAATCCTTTTATGAAAGTAATACATTTCAGGATGTACAGATATATTGTACGCAGGCATCTTGTGTTATGAGAGTGAACCTGAGGCATGGATCCTCTGAAATGTGGTATATATGATACAATAATCACACAATTGGAGGGCTTTGCTCCCATATATCTTTTTAACATTTAAAAATTCTTCACTCTTTTTTGAGTATTTGTACATGTACATTCCACTGTAAGAGTCTGCACAGAGGATGCCCATTGAGGCAGGTTGTGCATACTCTGTTTTTGTATGCTGCTTCATCTGTGTATATATATATATATATATATATTTTAGAGATCTGTGTATCTGTTTGTGAGTTCATGTTATTATGTGTCTGTAAGTTTGTTTCTTTCAAGAACTCCTCCTTAATGGGAAGAAATAGGATCACCAAATTTTGTATGCAGTTACGTCTTATCATAACTTAAAGCAAGGTAGGGTTTGGTTGTACCAAGAAGTGCTGGGAAGGAGACTGTTTTCCATATCATGGGAAGGCAGGGACACAGAGTGGAGGGTTGCAATACTGATAGTGGTCATTGGGGGCAGTGAGATAGCAGGGAAGAACTGCACTACAGAGAGTCCAGTGGGGTAAACCATGCCACCAAGGGAGTAGCCAGTAGGAGTGGAGCACTGCCATCTTACCTGCCACCAGATCAGGTAAGTAGCCTTAGCGCGGGGGGAGGAGGAGGGAGGATAGGGAGAAACAGAAGGTCCCTGCGAGCTCAGGGGGGAGGCAGAAGGACCCTGCTGGCCATCAGGGGTTGGGAGGAGAGAAAAGTCCCCCACTGGCTGGGGGAGAGAGAGGACCCTTGACAACTGGGAGTGGGGAAAGCCCTACCAGACCTCCCACCCTGAGCCCCTCCTCACCTTCCAACCCTCACTCTCTCACCCCTCCCATATCCCTGGCTTCCTGCCATGCTCCAACATCCCCAAAGACCTGACCTGGTTCCTGCACCTCCCATACACTGCCAGCCCCCTATCCTGAAGGACCTGAGTAACATTGGTTAAATCTTTTAGTGCAGATGTAAGAGGAGCTGTGCAGCCCCCATTTGCTTCTTACTCCTAGTGATGGTTGTTGGCATGCTTTTAGTGTTGATATAGCAAGTTCTTCCTTAATTCCTTGCATACAAAACTTTTTTCTTAGATGTGAGTAGTTAAGATAAAATGTAATATAGATAAGCATTAGTATTAAGTTTCAGTTTTTAAGTCTTTTTTACAAGATTCGAATTAGGATGTGAAAGTGTAGCTGTGTACATGGTTAACCAATGAGCCTATGCCAGACCCAGGCCCACGAAAGCTCATCATCTAATAAACCATCTTGTTAGTCTTTTAAGTGCTACATAGTCCTGTATTTTGTTTCAGCTACCCTAGACTAACACGGCTACATTTCTATCACTATCCCAGTCTTTGGCACCATACCTTCTGGCATTGCTGCAAGGACAGTGGCTGGTGGCCTGATATCCGTGGAACCCGTGTGGTTTACCCAATCATCCCAGTCTGCTCAAGTCAGTTTCAGGAGCATCTGAGAGAACTTCAAAGTTGGTGTCTCAGCCTTGGACTTCACATGCTCCAGACAGGGAGTCAAGAAATCATTCTGAAGATGTTCCTGAGGTGACATACCAGACTTCCTTACAGATCCAAAACCCCTCTTCCCCCATTTGGCAACCATCTTTCCCACTTCCTGAATGGTCTGCGGACCATTCTGGCCTGAGACATCTCAGTAGATACCTACTGAAACTCAAATTCCGTATCATCTACTTGTCCTCCATTATTCCAGCTCTAGATTCTGGAGATTGGTATTCTGTCCTCAACCTGAAGGACACGTAGTTCCACATGGCAATCTTTCCAGGTTACAACATTTTCTTTGGTTTATGGTAGGGACCACTTTCTATCAGTTTATGGTCCTTCCCTTTAGCCTGACTACAACACCAAGGCTACATCTAGATTGGCATGATTTTCCATAGGTACCTGCTACAGCTCAGGAGTCTGGGCCTGGAACATACTTCCATCAGAGTGTATCTTGCAGCCACCTCTGCTTTTCGTGACCCTAGGTAGGTGGTGTGCTCCCATGAAATGATGGTGAGATTCCTGTGGGGCCTTGAGTGACTGCACAGGTGTAAAACCCTGTCCTGTAGTGGGACCTCAGCCTGGTCCTCTCCTGGCTCACTGGGCTGAATCACTTGGATCCCTGCACCTTTTCCTACTTGTCCTGGAATGGACATGTGTGACATATCTTGAAGAACAATTACAGAAAGGTAGGTAACTTTCTTATTGGTTGCCTAAGCTGTTCTGTACTGTAGATGATGTATAGCATGCTTTCAAGCTACAAAATTGCTAGCAGTGACCCTGTGTATGCATCAGTTCTGAAGATATCAGGAGATTCTGTAAATGTATACATTTTCGGTTCCCTCTTTTTCCCATGGAAAGTGGTCATGGGATAGTATCTCTCCCATAATCCATTTAATACAACTTTCTTATCCATCCGTCCATCTGCATTTCTTAACCCATTGTTCACCATAGTATCTAGGTACTGTACATAGCTTACAGAAAACATTGGTTCCAGATAGAAAGAAAGCAAAATCTCTCTTTAATACTGATTTTTTTAGATATAAAAGCCTTCACATCAAGAGCCCCTCTGCAGGATTTGGGCCATATTGTGCTTGGCACTTTCTTATTATGCATATTTCATATTCCTTGCTTTATTGGTAGGAAGCAGTGCTATAAGAGCCAAGAGTATACAAAAGGGATATTAGGGTACAGTTGAGAGAGTGAAGGCAAGCTTGAACTTGGGGTATAGCAAGGTAGAAAGAGCTGGTAGAGTAAATTATGTGATCAGAGCAATGATCAGTGAGTCTAATAATTCCCTTAAGTGTTCTATTTTAAGGGATATTTAGAATATAGTAGGTGGAAATGTTGGCTCTACCAGTGTGATGAATATCCCATCTAAAATATATTTAGAACATTTATTTAGAGATATGTGTAGTGGGGCGCAGTGGCCTCCCATCGACCCGGAGGCAGAGGAACCCCTCCAGGAGCCATTTTCTGTGCAGCATAGCCCCTCCTCGTCACCTGACTGGAAGTCGGGGCAGGCCTAGGACCATAAATAACCAGGCTAAGAGCTCAGTCTGAGCCCAACCTCTGGAGGAGCCAGAGGCCTGCATAGAGCTCCCTGCCTGGGAGGCAGAGACTTGGCCCAGGCATCCAAGAGTGGCCGGCCTAGAGGACCTGCCTGAACCCCGACCCCAGCCTGTACCCCGGGACTGTGGGAGCCCACCGGATCCGCAAGGACCACCAGCTGGGTCATTCTCTGAGGACCAGCCGAACCCCAAGGACCAGCCGAACTGCCTGCTGTGGTCAGAGCGGACCTGAAAGAGGCTGAGAGCTGGAGCGGACCACCAGGACCCCAGCTGGATGAGACCAACCTTGACTCCCCGAACCTTGACTCTGCCAGAAGTCCAGGTACCTGTTGAAGGGGAGAAGGGAAATGGCCCTGGGAGTAGTGAGGGTTGTTAAAGGCCTGAGGCCAGTGGGTTGCGGTGTAGTGCCCCCGCTGAGCCCACAGCAGCTACTCTGGTGCTTCTAGGGCGCTGGGCCAGGGCGCAGTGGAGTGGGAGGGCCTGCGCCACCCACAACCGGGTGGCAGTCTCCCCCTCATCGCTACCACAGGCAAATGGCTTGCCACCTTCCTGAACAAGGAGACCCCACACCTGTGTTTGTTGCCCCTCCCTGACCTAGGGCTAGGGCTCCCTAGACTGCTAAACTGTTTGTTTGCTGCCCAGCTTGGGACAAGGCCTAAACTGCTGGACTAGTACTTGCTGCCCTGCCCTGAAACAGGGCCAGGGCTCCACTAATTAAGGGATTATTGCTTCTGCCTGAGACAGGCCAAGGGCATACTGAACTTGTGGTGGACTGTGTGCTGCCCCGCCCTGACCTAGGGCCAGGGCTATTTGAACTGATAAATTCTCTGTGTGTCTTTGTTGCCCCGCCTGAATCAAGACTGAACCTTATGAACTAGTCTCTTAACAGGGGGATTGTCTGCAGCCCTGCCCAGACCAGGGCTGGGGACCTGAACAGATTGTTTGTTGCCGCCCTGCCTGAACCAAGGCCTGGGCCTATGAACTAACTGTGCCTGTTGCCAGCCCTAAGTGAGGGTTAGGCCCTTATACTGACTGGGGTTTTCTGCCTGCCCTGTACTAGGGGGAGTGCACCTGAACTATTGGCCTCTCACCCCGACCTGAAGCAAGGCCAGGGGTTGAACCATTTGCCTCTTGTCTTTAACCCAACCTTGCTTCAGGTCATGAACTCCTGACTCAGGGACTATTTTAAGCAGGTGTGCAGTAGGGTGGAGCGGCCACCCACCGGCCCAGAAGGAGGAGGTACCCCTCCGGGAGGCCTACCCAGTTTACGTATGTTAGTATGTGTTTTGTTTGATTGATTATGACACTTCCAGGATGTGACCTCTGTGTGCCTTTATGGTTCATGGCAATTACAGTACAAAATGAGCCAAAATTAATGATTAATTTAGACTCTCCTTCCTATTTGCAATAAAAACAATACAGCAAGGAAAAAGTAACCAGAAAAAAATTGGTTATGTGGCTGAATTGGGTAAGGTGAGTAAGTTTCTTCAGAACTGCATCATCTGAGCCATTTATCACAATGAATTATCTGAGTGATGTAACTGTAAGTAACTATCTTAGGGCAAGTCTACACTTCAGCACTGTATCAGCGCAGCTGTAGTGTATTTGCTGACGGGGGAAGCGCTCTCCCATTGGCATAATTACTTCTCAGTGAGAAGCGATTGGCAGAGAAGCATCTTCTGCTGACATAGCACTGGTGTGGACAGCATGAAACTTGGGTTGGTTGTTGAGGGAGGGCTTTTTCATATCTGTGAACAACTAAAGTTGGATCAACTTAAGCAAGAGTGTAAATATCTCCTCTTCCTTTAGATATCACAGTATCCTGATAGATGACGACTCTGCTTTACTATGAAAGAAACTTGATATCCATTACTATTACATTTGGAATCTAATTGTAATTGGAGTGGAATGGGCTAGTAATTTTGTATTTTATTTGGCATGCTGTTAATTATTTTTCCTCCTTTTGAGCGAAACTGGACTTAGTATTAGAAATTGTGTAATTGCTAGAAAGTCATAAAAACAAAAGATACGTGTTATACACATTGCAAATACTGATATGTCCTACATTAATATTCTTTAGCATATTAAGAATTGGGAAGGCTTGCATTTTCCATAAGGGTTAAAGTGTACTTAAGTGTATATTTATATGTGTGTGTGTGTGTGTGTGTAAGTATGTTTGTGTAATATCTGTGTGGTGGTACACTAAACTTAAGCCAAATTTTTAATATGCAAATTAGATTTTTTTACGTACCTTCCTTTACATATACATTTCATACCTTTTACAGTCCGTGCTAGATGCATAAATAGGCAAATCAGGATCAGTAGTATGTCTGCTGATTTTAGTTGGTACTTTTTGGAAGCAGTAATAGTAATGTGCCTTTGAAAGGTAGGGCACAAAAATTGGATACTAAGATTTGGAGTTGACCCTGGTTCCTATGCCCCTACATTGCCCTCTTTCTTTGACTGATTCACATAATTATCTTCTGGCTAGATCCAGAGTCATCTTTCACAACTAGATTTACCAATGAAAGAGGCAGAGAATTGTGAGAAAGATGGGAGAGGTGTGAGAGAAACTGGGAGAGGCAAGACAATTTTGTTTTAAACTGAATTTCCTTGGACAGAATCTTAGCTAAGTAAAGTTCAACAGATGCAATTAATTTCCTTAACAGTGTATATTATAAAAGAATCCAGCCTCAAAAGGATATATTTGAGTGGAAACATTGGGAATTGTGTGGATTAATTTCACTTGTGCTCTTGGTGAATTCCTCATGCTCTTCACTACAAGAGTTCTATCTATAAAAGATTAAATGGTATTTTGTTTTTAAAAGCCATTGAAAATAAATTCAGTTTGTTTGCAGCAAATTCTGACTGACTCTTCCTGTTGCCTGTTCATGAAGTAGTTTCCTCTAACATTCTGTGTGTGGGGGGCCCCAGCTTTTCTCTGTAAGTGCTCCTACAGATTCTGGTCCATGGATACTGCAAGATGAGAGAAATCCAGATTACAGAGGTTCAGCCTGTGGTTGTTTATGTAAAGCACATTAAGACATAACTGATATGAGTTTTACTTATACATACGTTCAGACTAAGACACACACACACAAAAGCACGTACTCATGTTTTGTCCCTTATTCATACATGTATTTGATTTTGTGTTAAAAAATCAGCATTTTTTATTCCTATTATCAGTTGTGAAACAGAAAAATGCGTAATAAAGTAGCTGAATTTTACATTGCGTGTGTGTGTGCCTATAGCATCTCTGCTATAATGTTGCAATGCAATTTTTTGCATTTTATTTCCCTTTAAAAACAAAAAAAATTGTCAGTGTTTTTGATTGTATGAGAAAGATACATCTTAATATATAATCGTTAGATCGGGGGTTCCCAGACTTTTTGACACGGGGACCAGTAAATCCATTCATGAGCTTTTGGAGGACCGGTAACATTCATTTGCATATTTGCAAATTCATTAAGCGAATGATGAATATTCAAATAAGTTGTTTCTGGTCCACGCAAAGCCCCCAGTGCCAGCGTTAGCAAAACTTTTGATACAGCCACCCACTATATTCTTGCCAGCAAGTTAAGGGAATATGGATTGGATAAATGGACTGTAAGATGGATAGAAAGCTGGCTGGATCAGGGTTTCCCAAACTTTTTACTTTAGTTGGAACCCGTTTTTTTTCAATACTGTTTTTTACAGCCCAAAAATATAAACGCATATAAAAAAAAGAATGAAAAATGAATAAATTTTCAATGTTTCACCTGGCTGCATCCTTCGCCCAGCCTGGGCCAGGGTTTGGGGGACCTAGCGCCGCATGAGCACTCCAGGAGCTGGGAGCAGGAGCAGATTGGGGGTAGGGTATCTGGCTAGGAGGAAGGGTCCAAGGAAGGGTAGGGTTGCCAGGTGTCTGGTTTTGTACCGGACTGTCCGGTATTTTAAGGTTTTGTCTGGGAAAGAAATCGAGAAATTACCAGACATATAAATTGTCTGGTATTTTCTAATTAGGTAAGTTTTATTATAATTAGGTGTATCAGTCCTTAGCGGTGAACTGCCTGGCTGGTAGATGTGCTCACGCTGTGCCAGGCAATTCGCAACTACTCGAGGGAGGGTATGTGGGGGCACGGGGCAAAATGGAATCCCCGGCCAGACTCACTCTTCTGCCAGGGTCTTCAGGCTCTGCATGTGCCCAGGTGAGTCCCGCTCCCCCCTTCTCCTGATCTCCCCAGTCCAGCCCTGCTGCCCCCGTCCAGCCCTGCTTCTGGCGGCTGGTTCCCCCTGTCCCCCACCAATCTCCCCTAGTCAGCCCCACTCCCCTGAGGATCCCCCCAAACTCCCCCCAGTCCAGCCCTGCTGCCCCCGTCCAGCCCTGCTTCTGGCGGCTGGTTCCCCCTGTCCCCCACCAATCTCCCCTAGTCAGCCCCACTCCCCTGAGGATCCCCCCAACTAGCCCCGCTGACTGTGTCCAGACCTGCTTCCAGCAGCTGGTTCTCCCATCCTCATCCTCCTGATCTCCCCCGGCCAGCCCCCCTGGCTCCTGTCCAGTCCTGGTTCCATCATCTGCCCTCCCCGATCTCCACTGGACAGCCCCACTACTCCCAATTCTGCTTCTGCTGCCTGCCCATCTCCACGGGACAGCCCTGCTACCTCCAATCCTGCTTCTGCCGCTTGCCCTCCCCGATCTCTACGGGACAGCCCCGCTGCCCCCAACCCTGCTTCCCGGTGGCCGGTTTCTCCCCTTCCCTCCTTCCAGCCCACCCCGTTCTGCTCCCCTCCTGGCAGCCATGCTGAGGCCCGGTATTTTTTTCCCATGGCCCAGTGCTGGGCTGTGGCCCATAGTTTGGGAAACACTGCATTAGATCATACCTGCAGTTCCAATATCCTGTAGTTTGGCTGTGCATTCCAGGTGAATTCTTCTCCATATATCATGCAGATTTTGAAATTGAAGGGACACGGGTTCAGAAGTTACGTTGTCAGTTCTGCAAAGCTTTTTTGATGCTATTTCACATGTGTGGGGGAGAGTTTTCTAAGGTAAATGCAAGATGAGATCCTATGTTATGTTTTGAAGATTAGGTGGCATCCTGAAAATCCATCTTCTTCAAGTTCTGGTCCCTATGTTCTCCAGGAGAATTTTGAAAGCAGTGTCGGTTGGTCAGCATATGTCTCTTGGCTTACCTTGTGACTTTGGCCAAGGAGATAAAGGGTGAGGGAGACGATTGTGTCTCTAGTTCTTTCTCACTGCTGCTTGATCTGGATTGAAACCCCCAATGTCCAGAGCTTCAACTTTCTTCTGTGAAAATAAATGTAGATATCTGTAAATAGCTTTTATATTCTAGCATTTTAAAATCTTATCTGATCATTTTAGTGTTTTATAATTAGTCTTCTTGATCTAGGTAGCCTTCTTCCCCCTGTACCTCTTTTGGGTACTGGACTATGTCTAGTACCCTAGGCTTCAAAATTTGTTTCCTGTATGCAGTTCTTCTCAGTCAGTGATGACTCCCAGTATTGCTTATATTACCTGAAAAGCTCCAGTCAAGGCAAGGTACAGTATCTGCTTTTCTTTCCCCTGCCATACCCAGAAGGGCAGGAACTTTCAGGCCGTCCTTGAATTCCATCGTGGGAAGGGCTTATTTGACAAGAAAGAGCCTGTGAATGTTATCATAGGTCAGATCATAACCAGCTCCAGAATGCCTGTCAAGATTTTTCCCTCTCCTAGGCCACGCCTTGTGCTTATGTCACACTTTTTACAAGATTCCATCCTCATTGCCTACAACCATGGCTACAACCATGGCTTCAAACTGTGTACTTGCCAAACTGGAAGTCCAAGAGCTCTCCTTTCTTGGCATCTGTATACAGGCAGTCCCGGGTTAAGTACAAGATAGGGACTATAGGTTTGTTCTTAAGTTGAATCTGTATGTTGAATCTGTATGTAAGTCGGAACTGGCGTCCAGATTCAGCCGCTGCTGAAACTGATCAGTTTCAACAGTGGCTGAATCTGGAGGCCAGTTCCAACTTGCATACAAATTCAACTTAAGAACAAACCTACGGTCCCTATCTTGTACGTAACCCGGGGACTGCCTGTATATGGGAAATGCAGTTCAATCACATCTTTAATGTTACATTTCTTCTCTTTAGACATCTGTCTGCATTAGTTTTAATTTAGGTTGTAAGATCTGTGGTAGGAACCTTGTAGTTTTAAATATCTGTGAAGCATCTACTGTGCTCTGTTAGATATGTTAAATATCAATTAATTGAATAGTCGAGTAATCTCATGAGTTCTTATCAGTTACTCGACAGTTTAAAAACCAGCTACTCTTGCGGACCGGCTGCCCATCGGCCCGGCGGTCAGCCCCCCAGCTGCTGTACCACAGGTGTCCGGAGCAAAGCCATGGAGCACGGGGGCAGTGGGACAGCCCAGACGCGCCGTGGCTGTCCTGCTGCCCTTTGGCTCCACGGCTTTGCTCTGCTTTGCTCCCCGTCCCCCTGGTCTGCAGACTGGGCTGCCCGCTGCCCGCGTGTTCCGCCGCTTTGCTTCCTCTCCCTGGTCTGCTGGAGACCAGGGAGAGGGCCCTGTTCGTAAGTGCGGATCGAACGTAAGTCGGATCCGCGTAACTCGGGGACTGCCTGTAAATGCTGAAATAAATCTGTTCCCTCTATTACCACTCCTGCTTCTACTGAATTTAATGCAAAACTAGATAGCGTGCAAGTTATTCTCATTCCAATTGGCCCAGATAGTTTTGGTTCCCTAATCTCGTACATATGTCCCAGTATCCTGGCTCAAGGGAGCAACAATATCAGGGTTCCCAACCAATGACTGTTCCATTTTGAAGCCTGATTTGTGAATGAGCATCATCCTTAGAGCAATTGTGTAAAGCTGTTCAGAACATCCTTACTAATAGTTACAAGGATTCCAATAGGAAATATTACTTAGCTGTGTGGAAAAATTTCTCGGGGTGGACACATTCAAGACACATTTCTCCAGAAGCCACAGAAATTCCTTTCATTGTGTACTGTATTCTTTCCTTGAAGACAGCAGGTTTGTCCAACAGTTCTTAACAAGTCCACTAGACAGCAATCAGTGCATATCATTTGCCTTCACAAGGCTACTCCATCTTAGCACGCTGGCTGACTAGCAGATTCTGGAAAGGCCTAATCAGAACCTTTCCACATATTCTCTTGTTGCCCCAATACTTACTAAAACTCCTTTTAAACCATTAGGATCTTGGTCCGTATCTCCCCTATATATGAAGGCTATATTCCTGGTAGCCAACACTAGTCCTTATAAGCTGAGCACTTGGGTAGCCACTCAGCACAGATTCAAATGCCACTGAGTTGATTAACTCTCTGATTATTCTCTGCATAGATGGAAAAATTTAGAGGGTTTACTGGCCATCGTCTCAGCCAACAGGGCTGGTGAGCTTAGGGGATTTACAGCAGATCCTACTTGTATTACATTTAGGATCCTACCAAATGAACAGGCAGGGAAAACATGTCACGGAACCTGAAATCTGGTGTGTCCCTGTGAAATCTGGTCTATTGTGTGCTTTTATCTTCCACAGATTGATTGCATGGAGGAAACCAGCATTTCTCAAACTGAGAGGCCTGATCCCAAAGGGATTTGTAGGGAGGGTTGCAAGGTTATTTTAGGGGAGGCAGAGTATTGTCACCCTTACTTCTGTACTGCCTTCAGAGCTGAGTGGCTGGAAAGTGGCAGCTATTGATTGGACACCCAGCTTTGAAGGCAGCACCCTGCCAGCAACAGTGAAGAGCTAGCAATACCATGCCACCCTTCTGCATTTCTGCCTTCAAAGGTAGACCGCAGGAGAGTGGTGGCTGCTCCCTGAGGACACAGCTCTGCAAGAAGCAGTGCAGAAGTGAGGATGACAATACCATACCATGCTATCCTTTCTTCTGCAACTGGTGATGGCTCTGCCTTTGAGCAGGGTTTCCTGCTACCACTGCTCTCTAGCTGCCCAGTCCTGAAGGCAGTTTCCATCAGCAATAACACCACAACCCCCCTACAATAACCTTGTGCTCTCCTTGCATCCCCCAGCCCCCCGCATAATTCATTTTTGGATTAGGACCCCTCCAGTTACAACAGTGTTACATTTCAGATTTAAATACAGGCAGTCCCCGGGTTACATGGATCCGACTTGCATCGGATCCCTACTTACAAACGGGGTGAGACAACCCCACACTAGCTGCTTCCCCCCAGCAGACCAGGGAGATGCGGAATAAAGGCCTGAGGGAAGTGAGGTGTGGGAGAATAAAACTGAGCTCTGGAGAAATGTTTGGCTAGAGTTTCCCCTACAATATGTACCAGTTCCGACTTACATACAAATTCAACTTAAGAGCAAACCTACAGTCCCTATCTTGTACGTAACCCGGGGACTGCCTGTATCTCAAATCATGACATTTATTATTTTTAAAATCCCATGACTATGAAATTGATCAAAATGGACCATGAATTTGGTAGAGCCCTAACTATATTCCTTAAAGGCTAGGTTTCTTTGTTTACAACCTTAATTCACCCTCCCAGAGTAGTCTCTGAGTTTCATCTGAATCAGCCTATTCACTAAAATGTACTCTGTTCTTCCCAAAGTCTCGTGCATCATCAGAAAGGAGGTGGCCCTATCTTTCGATGTTCGATGAGCCATAGTCTTTTACTTGCAGAGAATGAGAACCATAAAAAATCTGAAACAAAATACAGGACTATGTAGCACTTACTCTGTTGGCTGTTGTCTAATCTTCTCTCTCCTAATGGGGTAAGAGTTCAAGCAACATCCATAGCATTGCTGCAAGATGTGTGTCTTTTTTGATATTTGTAAGGCAGCTGTTTATCAATTACCCATAGTGGAATATACATAAGGATCCCACTCAAAAAGAGAGAAAACTAGTTATTTTATAGTAAGTGGAGGTGTATGGGCCCTATCTGCATTCCATTATCTTCTATTCTTCCCCTCTTCTTTGCCTCATCTCTGATTCACAATGGAGACATGATCATTTTGTTCCGACATTTATCTCCTCATTTGGAGGCATGAGGTAAATCAGGGTGCCTATGCATCATCTGCTGTCTCATGTCTTATCCAGGTCACGTCTGCACTTGCTGCGCTGGAGATCAATTTTCTGGTGTTAAATTAGTAATGACCTGCTAAATTGAACACTGAGGATGCCCCTGGTCAGCAGTGGTACTCCTACTCCTTGAGAGGAGTAAGGGAAGCTGACAGGAGCATTTGTTCCTGAGCTTGGCTTATGGTATGTCAACTTCAGCTACGTTATTTTTGTAGCTGGAGTTGCGTACCTTAAGCTGACCTTCTGGGTCTAGTACAAACCTAGCTTTAGATTGGAAAGCTCCTTGGTGTTGGAGTCATCTTTTTTGTTCTGTGGTTGTACAATACCTAGCATAATAGGGTCTTGATCCATTACTACAGCTTCTAGGGACTCCAATAATACAAATAATGAATAACAACAAGCCATGGGATCTAGTAATGATCATGCTGTCGTGCTTCACCCTGCCAATGAGTTTCATGGAAAAGTTCTGTACTTTGCACAAAGCACTTGTAGTTTGGTGTTGCTCAAAGAACAAAATTTGGTCCTCTTTAAAACAGTCTCCACTACCAAGTGATAATGTGACCAATGTTGACCCACGAGCAACTAAATGACTTGTTTGCTTCTACTGTCAGTGTACTACTACTGTATTATGAGGAAAAGCACTACAGGTTGGACCTCTTGGTCCGGCACCCTCGGGACTTGACCAGCCCTGAAGGAGGGGATTTGCTGGACCACGAGAGGTCCCTCCCCTCCTGGTATGTGCTAAACTGCTTCCCCCACCTCCCTCTAGGGCTCCAGCCTGCCCCACTGCTTCCTGGCCAGCTCTCAGTCCCTGGGCTGAAGCTCTCCAGCTCCTAGTGGCCCTGCTGATTCCAGGCTAGAGCTTCACAGCCAGGGCTGCACGTCTGGGGCTGGAACTCCATGTTCGGGGATGAAACTGTGCAGCTTTGGCTGGAGCTTCCTGGCTGCTGCCAGGGCTGGAGCTGCACAGCAGCTGCCAACCTCCTGCTACTGCCTAGCTATTGGGACCAGATCTCTCCACTGAACCGCACCCCCCTCTCCCCACCAGAACTCCTGGCTGAGTCACCAACCCCCCTGCTACGCTCCTGTCCTGTGGCCAGAGCTCCCTATACCTGGACTCTGTGGTCCAGGAACATCTGTGGTCCTGCTGGACCAGAGAGTCCCAGTTAAGGGAGATACAACCTGAAGCAATAGTCAGGGTCCTGTGATATCTGTATGAAATTTGACCTAAATTTTAAAGCAAGGGACCTGAGGCCTATGAACTCAGATACAGAAGTTTGGAAATTACATCAGTTTCAAATAAATTAAATATGGATTTTTTAATCAAATATGAAAACTTGATATAACCAGCACACTATTCATTGGGTTGCTTAATAAAAATATTGATAAAAATTAATTAACTCTAATTATATGTATATGGGATAGAATGTGAAAGTGTCATGAAGTGATAATTTCATAAAGCTTTTCTGATTATTGCCTTAAAACTTATGTATACATTGACCTTCTTATGTGCAAGTCCAAATGATGTTATTTTAAGATTCACGCTATAGCTTAAAAAAAATCAAAACAAAACAAATGGTTCAATTAAATTATTTACCCTAAAATACCATAGTACCATAAAATAACAATATTTTCCTGTAAAAATTATGTCCACTTAATTTGTCCACCTAGTTTTCTTCCGAACAATGGATGCTGGTGACTTCAGCCTTGAAGCAGAGCTGCATAATGTTTTTCACACGTGCCTAAAGAGATGGCTGTGAATACTCTTGAACGCTAGGTGGCATACATTCAATATGACAACTTAACTACAGATGTATGCTTGAAAAATGATTGTTAAAACATGAAAATGAGGTGCCACCTAATATTTCCAATATGGTAAAGACAAATGTGAGAAACAAGGAGCTAGCCTTTCCAGAGCTTTCCTAAACAGTTTATATTAATGGCTATCTTATTTTTTAAAGGTTTATGTGTCTGGTAAATTCTTCTTTTACCTATAAACCATTTTTAAAATTATCTTTTACTAGTTTCTTTGGAGTTTGAACTAGATGCCCAGAATTTTTCTTCAGGCAGGTGCTTCATGCACTTTGGAAAAAGGCCATGACAGTAAATACCACATGAAAACACAGTATTTCATCCCTGGATCTTGAAGTCTACAAAACACTTTATTAGATACTTGGAAAAAAATTAGAATTATTCTTAAGGTTTGCTTTCTTACAAAATCTTCAGATGTTTTCCTTCACAAAAATTATGCCTGTGTCACTTCTTTGTTTTATAAAAATTAAAATCAGGTTTATGCAAGTATTTGTTGCCTATTGTGATGATGATTTATGTGAGCTATCATATCATGTCACAGAGAAGATGAAAACTTCATTAATTTAAAAACGTATTTTTGATCTCTAAGAAGCAGTAAATGCTTTTAGGTCACCTTAGAAATGCCACGATGCATGGAATTATGAAAAAATGTCAGGCCATAGTGTGTGTTGTAATTGTAGTTGCTGAATTATGGGAGATAAAAGAAGGCAGATTAATTTATTGTAATGAGTTTTGTTGATGTAACCGGGACATCAGATTGCATCCAAAAGGGATAGTATACACTACAGGTTAAAGAAAAGGAAATGTTTAAACGCCTGCTCTTGTCTCTTGCTTGTAGGAGTAACATTATAGCCTCCCTTTTCATCTGTCTGCCACCTTTAAAAGTTTTTAGTGTTACTTGTCATACACAGTTCTGGATACCATATCTGTACATTTTGAACTGTCTAGTCTCCCTATTATAACTGTCAGTCTCATTCCTTATTTCTTGTTTTTAAGAAGTCTAATCCTGAGAGATGCGGAACCCTTTATAGGGTTTGGTCCAAGATCTCTAGTTTAGTAACTGCACGGTAGTGTGTCCACTAGCAGTGCTGTACATTTTAAAAGGAAATCTAAATGTGTATACGTTGTATCCTTCTTTGTGTATAATTTTCTTCTGTTTTTCTTTTTGATAGCCACAAGTATCATGCCAACCTGCCATCTTCAGAATTGTTGATGAAATTTTCAAGTAAGCTTTGGTAGCTTTTATAGGATAAGATTTTATTTTTTCCAACTTCTTGACTTAATGTTGGTATGAGGGGTCTTTTGGTTATAAACATAGAGGACTGAGAGTTAGGAATTTTGGGGCCTGGCTGTGTCACTGTTTGGATATGTAATCTTAGTTTACCGTTCTGTAAAATGAATATAATACTGGTGTTGTGTAGTATTGTGAAACCTGATGACCGTGAAGCACCTTGAGTTCCTCATATAAAAGAGATTATGATTCAGATCCATAAAGGTGACTCAGGCATTGAAATTCCTAATTTTTAGGTGACTAAACCAGGATGGCCAATGATTTTTGATGGGGGCAGTCCAAGATTTTAAGTGGTGAAGAGCTGCACTTGTCTATGGAGGGGGTTCAGGGTCTGGGACAGAGGTTGGGTGCAGAAGGGAGCTTGGAATAGGGGAGGATGTGGTGGAGGAGAGGTATTGTGTCTGAGAGGGAGTTTGAGTGAAGGAGGGCTTGTGACCTCGGACAGGGAATTGGGGTTCAGGAGAACGTATGGGTGCAGGAGAGAATTCCAACTTGGGAAAGGTGCAAAAAGGAGTGCAGAAGGTTTGGGTTATGACCTAGGACAAGGGATTGGCATTCAACAGGCGGTTAAGGGTTGGGGAGGGGTATGGGTGCAGGGGCAGATTCTGGCCTGGGGTAGCAGGGATTGGGGGAGAGTTCTGATCTGGGGAAGGAGGAGAAATGGGGTGCGAGGAGGGTTTGTGGTGACCTGGAGCCAGGGAGTTGGAGTATGGGAGGGGGTAGAGTACCAGGTGCAGACTCTGACTGGGAGATGCTTACCTAGGCTGCTCCCGGACAGCAACCCAGAAGGATCTTCAGGCAAGCTCCCTGCCTGCTGCAGCTCCAGGCTGCTGAAAGTGACCAGCTACTGGAGCTGTGTGCCTTTCTGCGCAACCTGCCCCAAGGGTGAAGAAGGCTTGGTGCGCTGCCTACATCCCCAGCCAAAATCCTCATTGGTCAGAAACTGGAGCTACAAGGATTGTTCTGGGAGTGGGGGCAGCACATGAAGTCTCCGCCTCCCCCCTGCAAGGGGTGCGAGGTGCCTAGAGGCTGTAGCAAGAAAAAACGGGAGCTTCAGCTCCGGATGATCTTGTTTGAGAAGGCTAGGCAACCCACAGACGAGTCACGGCCTCCTCAACCAGAGACAGTGAAGAAAAGATCAGACTCTAATCCTTGCCATGTAAGGCCTCGAAGAGAGCTTTCTCCAGCGAAGTCTCTCCCTCCAACCCGTCTCAGACAGTTAGCAGGGGAGACACACCAGGCACTTCTGATACCGCAATGTTGAGACCGTCCACCAGCACCACTTCTCTGTTTTTGCACACCACGTCTGTGACAATCCATGCATCTTTGGCACCAGAGGGATCATTTAGAGAAGCTTTGGCACCAGCCCTTCCAAAGACTCAGGACCTGGCACTGGTGAAGCCATCAGCATTGCAAGCCAAGCAGGCCTCTCACAGATCATCCATGCTGCCTCCAACCCCTGCACCAACCTCAATGTTGTCAGTGGCGCATGCACTGCTAAAGGACTGCCCACGTGGTGAGGAATTGGCACTGCCCAGACACACGCATGTCACCAGCACTGGACAGACATGACACCTGGCACACTTCCCTTCTGCCATCCGGAGAGCATTCCCCGATGCCATTCTTTTCTTATGCTTCTCTTAGCTCCATCAGATCCCTAGTGCTGTCTGAGTGCTCTGCCATTGTAGGTGATGACCAGAGGAGTATCTTCTCACTGCACTCCTCCTCTGCTACGTCTAGGCATTATTATAGCCATCAAGACAGATCGTGCCATCTGCCAGATTATTCTCACTGGCTGTATCTTCCACCTTAGTACCCACCCCATTGGCCTCCATGGGAGCACTGGGACCCACCATTCCACAGCAGCATCCACCCTGGCAAAGAGGTCTCCATCAACTTCACCGTCTCGTACACTTCTGACCACAGTCAATTTGGAGGAAGAGGATGACCAAATTTAAGATGAGGAGCCCGAGACACTGGGGATTCACCTACCAAAAACTCTTCTTCTTCACCTGATGAAGTGGTGATTCCAGAGGACACGTGGCCTGCTGACAACTTGAAACAGTTTCAAGAGCTTTTTAAGAGAGTGGCTGCAAGCCAAGAGGTTACACTCCAGGAGGTTAAAGAAAAGCAACATTGCCTCCTGAAAAATATCTGTCCTGCCTTGCAAGGAAAGATCACGCTACCTATTAATGAGGCAGTCAAGGAGGTATCGGATGAGATATGGCAGACCCTGGTTCTATCCAGCTGATATGCAAAAGAGCCAACAGGAAGTATTTTGTCCCCTAAGGACCTAGACTTCCTCTTTTCCTACCCGCAGCCAAACTCCTTAGCCATAGATGTATCTAAAAGGTGCCACAGGGAGGGGGGGGGAGGGGGGGAATTGTTCTCCTTAGCCTCTGATGGTAGGACAAGAAGCAATGGGTATAAACTGCAGAAAGCGAGATTTAGGTTGGACAATGGGGAAAGCTTCTTAACTGTCAGGGTGGTTAAACACTGGAATAAATTGCCTAGGGAGGTTGTGGAATCTTCATCACAAGATATATTTAAGATCAGGTTAGACAGAATCACCGAATACTAGCACTGGAAGAAACCTCGACAGATCAAGTCCAGTCCCCTGCCCTCATGGCAGGACCAAGCATGGTCTGTATCATCCCTAATAGATGTCTATGTGGCATGTCACTGATCCAAGATTCTGCAGTTTAAGTCAACATCCAATAAGGAACATGAGAAATTGGATCTCTTTGGGAGAAAATTATACCCCTCTGTCACCCTTCGGCTCTGAATTGCAAACTATTCAGCGCTCCTAGCCAATCATGATTTTGATAGCTATTCAAAGTTGGCTAACCTCATGGAGCATCTACCAGACTTTGAGACTCTTCCTTAGGTGTGTAATCCATGAAGGGCATATAATTGTGTGCATGGCTTTGCAGTCCTCATTCAACATGGTGGATAGAGCCACCAGGGCAACAGCAATGGTGGTTGTAATGCAGAGGGCATCATGGCTTCAAGCAGTGGGAGTGCCCAAGGATCTCCAGTCTAAGGTGGAGGACCTCCCCTTCGACAAGCAGAAGCTGTAAACCGCGAAGACCAATGAAGTCCTGCATAGCAGTAAGGACTCACGCGCTACACTCTGCATGTTTGGCATGTACGCTACCATATTGACAAAAGTGCTATACCCCATACAATAAGAATAGATACAGTTATTACAACTGGTTGCTGCAGAGGCCATACGACTTCAGTTGACCCAGACGATGGGCCCAGAGGAGGTGCCCGCCCCAATCATTCTCCTCCACTTCTCAGGCGACAAAACAACAAATTTGAAAATTTGGTCAAGTGTCTCTCCTACCTCCCCGCCAGTCCCGTGCCAACAAATTAGAACCATCTTTTCTCCCACAGACTACGTCCCTTTTTCCCCACACTGGGACTCTATAATATCGCATCAGTGGGTCTTGGAGATACACCATTCCCTTAATCTCACTTCCTCTTCCCCATACCCATCCCTCTTCAGGGACCTCTCCCACAAGACTCCTCTAAGACCAGAAATAAACCGCCTTCTTCACCTATGAGCGATAGAGATGGTTCCTGACGCCTAGTGAGGAAGGGGTTTTTATTCCAATTACTTCCTGACCCAGAAATGCACAGGTGCCTGGAGACAGATATTATGTCTCTGCAAATTAAAGAAATTCCACACAAACAGTGATTCAAGATGGTCACACTGACATCAGTTATCCTAGCACTGGATGAAAGGGACTGGTTCTTAGTCCTCGATAATACAGGATGCATAGTTTCTTGTCACCATATACCCTGCCCACAGATAGTATCTACGATTCACCGTAGGTGAGGACCACTTTCAGTATAGAGTCCCCCCCTTTGATTTATCCTCTACCCCTTGGTTTTTTTGAAGATCCTCACAGTAGTGACAGCTTACCTTCGGTGACAAGGGTTAGTGATATTTCCTTATTTAGAGGATTGCCTTATAAACAGTTGATTGCATGCAGAGGCAGCTGACACAGTCTGGAAGACCAAGCTTCTCTTTCACCATCTAGGGCTCCTGATAAACAAGCAGAAGTCAACTATGGATCCCGTTCAGGACACAGAGCTCACTGGGGCTCACCTTGATTCTTTATCTGTCTGAGCTTATCTACCACAACAATGGTTTGTGATGCTACAGGATCTGATAACCACATTATTTGCAAGCCCCTCTACCACCTTATGTATCTGCCTCCAGTGGATGGTTCACATCGCTGCCACCACTTAGGTTTTGCAGTTCACGCATCTCCACTTCCACTCCCTCCAACATTGACTGGCTTCAGTCTACATGCCATTCCGCCACTCGCTTCACAAACTAGTGTACCATGCCAATGAGGATATTGGACTCCTTCAAATGGTGGACATTTTCCGACAACCTTTTGGCAGTTGTTCCTCTCTACAAGCCCAAACCAATGGTGCAAATTACTATCGATGCCTCCCTACTGGGCTGGTGTGTGTACCTGCAACAGTACACCACTCAGGGCAAGTGATGGCCCCACGAAGCCTTTCTACATATTAATCTCCTCTAACTCAGGGCTGTGAGGAATGTGTGCACACTTGGCTCCCAACATTAAGTATGCAGATGATGGAGTTGATAAAGACAATATGACAACCAACAACGATTTAGATGATGGCATAGAGAGTACAATTATTAAGTTTGCACATGATACCAAGCTGCGGGGGGGAGGGGGGGAGAGGTTGCAACTGCGTTGGAGGATAAGGTTATGATTCAAAATGATCTGGACAAACTAGAGAAATGCTCTGCCGTAAATAGGATGAAGTTTAATGAGGACAAATGCAAAATGCTCCTCTTAGGAAGGAACAATCAGTTTCACACATACAGAATGGGAAGTGATTGCCCAGGAAGGAATACTGCAGAAACAGAGTTAGGGGTCATAGTGGACCATAAACTAAATATGAATCAGTAGTGTGACACTGTTGCAAAAAAAGCAAACATGATTCTGGGATGCATTAATAGGAGTGTTGTGAGCAAGACACGAGAAGTCATTCTTCCGCTCTACTCTGCGCTGATTAGGCCTCATTTGGAGTATTGTGTCCAGTTCTGTGCATCACATTTCAAGAAATATATGGAGAAATTGGAAAAGGTCTAGAGAAGAGCAACAAGAATGATTAAAGGTCTAGAGAACATGACCTGTGAAGGAAGACTGAAAGAACTGGGCTTGTTTAGTTTGGAAAGGAGAAGGCTGAGGGGGCACATGAAAGTGTGTCACAAGGAGAAAGGAGACAAATTGTTCTCCTTGGCCTCTGAGGATAGGACAAGAAGCAATGGGCCTAAACTACAGCGCTGAGGATAGGACAAGAAGCAGTGGGCCTAAACTACAGCAAGGAAGGTATAGGTTGGACATCAGGAAAAGACTTCCTAACTGTCAGGATGGATAAACACTGGAATAAGTTGACTAGGGAGGATGTGGAATCTCCATCTCTGGAGATATTTAAGAGCAGGTTAGATAGACATCTGTCAGGGATGATCTAGATGGTAGACCATGAGGGCATGGGACTGGGGTTGATGACCTCTTGAGGTCCCTTCCAGTTCTAGTGTTCTATGATTCTATGAAGTTACTGCAAATGCAGGCCACTTGTTCATGAACAGTATACAGATGGGGAGTTAATATGCTTTAATTTATGTGCTTTGATGTCACAGAATTAGCTTATTCCCCTTACCTTTTATGAGTGCTCCCTTGTTGACAAGCCCTGGAACTGCTTATAGACTCTGATCCAGCTAAGCACTTCAGCATGTGCTTAATTTTAAGCATGTGAGTAGTTCCATTAAAACTTGAAGTTAAGATTGTGCTTAAGTGCTTTGCAGAATTGGAGTCTTAGCCATTTTTAATGCCATTTTACCATTGAGTTTTGCTCCTTTTTTCCTGCCCTAACAATTTATTGCAGATGCAAACTCTATCATGTAAATGTCTAAGTACACGGCTGCTGCCCAATACTGATATTTAGATCTCTAAATGCATGCACTGCAGCTGGAAAAAAAGTAGCGGTCTGGATCTGCATCCTTTAGAACTTAAGCTCAACGTGTGAAATATTGTCAAAGAACAATGTTGTGCTTATCACAAAGATTTTGTGTGTTGTTTTTAAAAAATGTCAAAGTAAAGTTAGTTTCTTCAGTTTTTATCCTGGCATTATAGCCTATTGAGTTCAGACACAGCTTAAGGCTACAAAACAAAAAGAATGCTTGCTCGCTCACTTTTCCGCTTTCAGTTAACAGCTGTGTGATTGACAGACTAATAATCTGACCTGTCATATTTTATTTTTTCAATGCTCAGGAATGCACTGCTTGAAACCAGTGGAACTCCTGAAGTAATGACCATGATACAGGTGTTTACACAGTGTTTTGTTCAAGCTCTCCAGAAGGATAACAAGCAGGTTAGTCAAGATCTATTTTTTTAATAACTGTTTAATGAGAGGATAATACAATTATCATGAAAAGAACCATTTTTGATTTGAGACTCTTGATGGAATAAAATGAGCTGAAATATAGTTTCACAGTCTTGCTATAGATGGATGCCAGGACATATTTCAGGCACTTAAACTGGAATCAGACATAAGATGTGCAATTCACCTTTTGCAACACAGGAGTAATTTATTTGGTAGTATCCTGAAACATTTTGCCAATGTATGTTATCATCCCCACGTATTCAGTATTTAATTTATAATGAAAGAGGTGCTATGGACTGAAGGAATTAGGTGCTAGGGCTCAAGCGATTTTTTTTTTACATGCATAAACTGATACAGCAAGCTCAGAGGTGCCAGAGCTATAAACTGCCAAGTGTAGAGGTGCTGGGGCTTATTAGTCCTGACACAAATTAAGCACTGTATCTGTTAATCTTGGCCCTGCAGCATTTGCCTGCATGATAAATTATATCATGATCCTCAATCTTTGATTGAAAGGATGAGGAGGTCTGTAGACAAGCATTTCTTTTGCATCAGCTGGGAGCCTACTGAACACTGTTGAATGTAATAAGAAAAAAAATACATAGAGCGATACAAAGTTGACAATATTGACCATCCACGAGTTCAGATGAGGTTTAAAACTTCCCCATTCAGGACCGTAATCTCTGCCCATGCTAGTTTTACATCATGTTTAATTCCACTGTAGCCAACTGAGTACTTGTGCTTTTCACAAGCTTAACTGAAATGTGAGTCAGCCCCATAGAGTTTAAAATTGAAAATTCTAGCTATATTTATAGGCCACAAGTTTGTTTAGGTTCCTAGACCATACAAAAATTTCTCACTTTAATAATTTCATTAAGTTTTCCAGTCAGTTTTTGACATGGCAAAATCACTGGGTTGAGAAGCTATTTTACTACAGGTTGAACCTCTCTAGGCGGGCACTCTGGTCCGGCAACATCCGTGGGTCTAGTGTGATTTTTAGTTAGCTGGATGTTCATTTATAATGGGTGTAGCCAAGTTTCCCAAAGTCCCATAAAGTTTGTTTATAGCCACCAGTCCTGGCTTTTAGTGTTCTCTGCTGTTTAGTGCTAATTTACCCCTACATGTCTTCTAAGAGCCCAGTAAGCAGTGGAAATATTGGTAATGCTCCTAGACAATACTGACCTCCTGTGGATCATCAAATTCTCTGGTTCGGCACTAGTCAGGTCCCGAGGGTACCAAACTAGAGAGGTTCAACCTGTATTGAATATATTTTACCTCTAAAGAAACTGCAGAGAATTTGTATTCTTTTTGACTTCCCCATTTTTGGGGGATATAATAGTTAATAAAGGGATGAGTCTTGGAATCCAGGATATACTTACCTCTGGTTAGCATTATAATTAAATCTGTCTTCTAGTTTCGTGTAGTATGAAGTAGGGATGAAATTGCAGCTGTTTTATTTAATATGACTAAATGCCTCCTGCAGAAATTTTATTTTACCCTGGGTGCATGATAGCAGCACATTACGCAGCTCCACAGAGGTGGGGTGGTGATTGGAGATAAGTGGAAATTCCACACTCTTCAACTTGCTAGGAGTTAAATCTATTGTGCCAGCTCTCCACATGTGTTATGGTGAAAGTCCTTCACTTGCTAACACCATGTCATAGATTATTGCCTCCTTTCCCAGGATCATGAACAAGATCCAATCAGACAGGGCTCGAGTCATTCCAATAGCTCCATCATGGTCCAGACAGACCTGGTTCACGTACCTCCAACACATGTCTATTGAAGCACCTTACCCACTTCCATACCGACATGATGTCCTCTCCTCAGAACTGGGACAAATTACTTCACCCTCAACCCCATACTCTTCACCTCCACTCTTGGCTCCTGTCTGGTTCCACAGAGCTGAATCCCTCTGCTCTGAGAAAATAAGAACCATTCTCCTTCATAGCAGGGAGACCATCCACCAGAACCACTTACCTGCAGAAATGGAAACAGTTTTCCTTCTGGTGCCAACAGATGCACGTTGTTCCTCACAAAGCTCTGCTTCATTCTGTCCTCAACTACATATACCATCTAAAGAGCAGGAGCCTATCTATCTCCTCTGTCAAGGTGCATTTGGCAGCAATTACAGCCTTCCACAATCAGGTCAACAGATCATCTGTCATTGGACATCCCATCACCAGGAGATTCCTCAAGGGCCTTCAGAACCTCTACCTTCCTCACAGGACCCCAGCACCCTCATGGGACTTAAACTGGGTTTTAGATTGCCTTATGAAACCCCTTTTTGAGCCCATGGCCACCTGCCTGCTCCAGTTCCTTATGATGAAGGTGCTGTTTTTAGAGGCCATTACCTCATCAAAGAGAGTTAGTGAGACACAGGCCTTGATAGTTGGTCCGCCTTATACGATCTTTACCAAAGGCAAAGTAACTTTACGACTGCATCCAACATTTCTACCCAAAATCATATCAATGAGCCCATAGTTTACCCATGTTTTTCCTGAAACCTCATGCATCCCCTAGGGATGCCATGCTCCATATCCTGGACATTCGATGGACTCTAACTTTTTATATAGACAGGACACAGTCATTCTGCAAGTCTCCACGCCTCTTTGTGTCCTTTACAGATCGCTTGAAGGGCACACCTATCTCAGCCCAGTATATTTCCAAGCTGATATCTTCCTGTATCCTATAAATGCCTTTCTCTTTCCAATAAGCCGTTCACAGCTCCACCAAGAACATACTCCACCCATGCTACTGCAACATCTATGTCATTTCTAAACAATGTGCACCTTGATGACATCTATCGGGCAGCCACTTGGTCATCTAACCATATCTTTGCCAGGCATTATGCTATCATGCCTCAACTGACAGTGATAGAGCAATGGCTACAGTTGCATTATCTTCTGCCGCCAAGCAGTAACTACGAGTCCCACCATCCAGATTGAATACTGCTTTGTAGTCAGCAACAGTGGAGCACCCACAGAGACATCACCCCAAGAAGAAAAGGAAGTTACCCTGTGCAGTAACTACTGTTCTTTGAGGTGTGTCCCCCTGTGGGTGCTCCACGACTCTCCCTTCCCTTCCCTACCCCACCCCACACCTCTCAGAGTCTTGGCTACTTGGGCGTAAACAATGGACGGAGGGGGAGGGGGTCGGGCTGCGTGCACGAGGCACCAAACAGCCAATGGCATGAGACGCCTTCTGTACATGTGCAGCCCAATTGACAACTGCTAAGAAAAAGCTCCTAACTGTGGCTCTGGGACGACTCATCACCAACAGTGGACCACCCACGGGGACTCAGACCTTGAAGAACAGTGGTTCTTGCACAGGGTGAATAACTTTCTTTTGTTAGGCATCCCTTGTGCCTGAGGTTACTGGGGAGATGAACCCATGTGTTATGCTTAAATAATGCTGTTTCAAAGCTTCTAACAATGTTCAGATTAGATCTGGGTTGTCTGAATGACTTCAGTACTACTTCTAGTGCTTGCTCATGTCCATTCAACATAAGTGTGTGTGTTTGCCACATGCACCATTACTGGAAGATTTTCCCTCAGTAGTATCTTTAGGGAACCAAGTCCAGCGCCTCCTGGTGTACACTTGCTATGCTATCTAGAGTGCCCCAGGCTTCTCCCTCTTCAGTTCCTTCTTGCCGCCAGGACAGTGCTTGGAACAATGTGCTCCAGCCTTAGCTGTAGTTTTAGTTAACTTCTTAATTCAGTTTACATAGTTTCCCTCTAGTTTAGATACGTGTAAAGAGTTAAAGATTAGCAGTTTGTTAGTTCCCTCTAGAGACTTAGCCAGGAGACAGGGCATGCCCTGCTCCCCTGGCTTTAAAGCTTGTGCTGAGTGCTGCAGGCCTATGCCAGTCAGTGACTGCCTCCATTGTCTGAGATTTGCATTTCTCCCAGACAAGTATCAGATCTGCAGGTCTTTTCCTCCCAGGACAATAAAGGACAGTGGTATATGCTTAAATGCTTTTATGAAGTCCAACCTCGCTCCCCAGGACCAGCACTCAGACTCGGTGCCAAGCACCAGTGCTTTGATAGGTGCTGTGCTGATGGCACTGAGGCACATCTGTGTCCCTGGCTCCATGTAGGAGGATGAAGAAGTCAGGCAAGGGTGAGCCCTCATTCCTCAGAAGGACAAGGCCAAGAAGGCTGATTGTGAGGGAGACTGCAGGAAAAAACTCCAGCGCAGGCTGACCACAGCTGCCCTGCCTGCAGCTCACCCTGGACATTCAAGTCCCTTCCAGCCTGAAGATTTACCAAGCAGCACAGGACATTTTTACCATGCCATTACTGCCACCTCCAGCATCAATCAAACCCTGGCATAGAGGGAGACTGCTATTTGCCCCTCGTTTACCGAGCATCTGACATTCTTGCTCTCCTGCTGGTCAGTCAGGAGAGCCCCTTGGAGGTACTGGATGCTGGGTCTCAAGATGGTCTGATCCCTCCTCCATACAAACTGCAGGTAAGTCACATATTGGAATACTCATGAGCAATCACTCGAAGAAGAAAGAACAGTTGCTTACCTTTTGTAACTCTTGTTCTTTGAGATGTGATGTTCATGTCCATTCCAGACCCACCTTCCTCTCCTCTGTTGGATGGTACTGGCAAGAACTGAAGCAGGAGTCGGGTTGGCAGGGATATATATTGTGACACTGCAAGGCATTACCTCTGGGGCCACCACAGCTGACCAGATGGGTATCACTAGGGAAAAATCCAATGATTCTGCATGTGGTGCATGCACACGTACACATATTAGAGTGAACATGAGCAACACATCTCAAAGAACAACAGTTACCAAAGGAAAGTAACCGTTCTTTTTTCTATAAGTAAATCTACCTTTAAGAAGTGAGTCATGCTAGATTAGTAGACTATAATTGATGCAGCTATGTTGAATGGACATGAGCAAGCACTCGAAGAAGAAAAGACAGTTAGCTGTTTCCATAACTGGTGTTCTTTGAGATGTGTTGCTCATGTCCATTGAACTCTGCACCCTTCTTCCCCTCTGTCAGAGTTTCTGGCAAGGAGGAACTGAGGAAGCAGGGATCTGGGGTGGGAGGAGCACCTTCTACAGTGTGGAATGTCTGCGTTCTGCTCCAGAGGGTGATGAACCCAGTCCCCTTTGGATACTGCTGAAGGAAAATCTTCCAACACTGGTGCATGTGGTGAGCACACCTGTGTTGAATGGATATGAGCTGCACATCTCAAAGAACACCAGTTATGGCAACTGTCTTTTAATTTAAACTTTGAACTTATGTTTTTGGAGGAAGCTAGACTTTTCTTTTGTTCTCTCCTCAGCTCCCTCCAGTGAATAAGTGTTTTAACAATAGTATCAAGTTAACATTTTTTGCCTGAGTGTGCTCATTAAACATGTCTGGCATTTCTTTTTAATCATTAGTTGATCAAATATCTTTGTTTAAAAACTAAACTTTGACTTACTATTGTACTTCTATGTCAGTTGTTAGATGTTGCCTTTTTTAGTTACCTTGATGCTTTGTATAAAGTGTGATGTAGTAATTGCCTATAACAAACTGATTTTCTTGTAGTCAGTCTTTAGAAAGGTTCAAACATCTTTATTTTGCTTAAACTCTTTCTATGCTGAAAACCAGCTTTGATTGTAAAAAAATGAAATCATATTTGTAGGGCAAGTTAATTCAAAATGTGAGTAGTATTTTGTCTTCTAAACATGCCCATTGCAGCTTTTTCTTGGGGTTTTTGAGTTGCATATTAATTGCATGTATGCTTTAGTATCTTAATTAAGAATCCTATAACTCCATTTGACAAATACAAACCTTTGGAGTTTTGCCAGTCTTATCATACCAATGATATATTGATTCTCATACTTTTCTTTGTACTTTCAGATTCCTTGAAATTTTGGGGGACAAAGAAAACACAAAATACACATGAAATGAGCTTTATAATCTAAGCACAGTTCTCATTGGATAGGAGTTTGGCATTGCTTATCTGTCACCTAATTCGGCATAATTTGCAGCCTGTTCAAGAACTTTTGTGGAGACTGAACAGTACTTTCACCTAGAGCAGTGATTCCCAACTGCTGGGCCATGACCTCTTGTTGCCAGGCTGGGTGGCTCTGAGGACACTGCTCTCGTTGTGGCTTTTGGGAGGGGCGTGCCCTACCCTGCCTCTCAGCCAAGCAGCACTCTTCCGCAGCTGGGAGGAGACCCCGTGCTGCGCGGCCCTCCTGCCATGCAGAGAAGCGCTCTTCCATGGCCAGAGGAGACCCCGCCCCTGGCCTGGTGCTGGTTGGCTGATAGGTGGGGAAGGATATGTCTCTCCCAACAGCTGTGGTGGGAGGGGAGGCACTGGGTGGTGTACCCCAGATTAGGCCCCCAGAGCAGTCACGATGTTGACAGCAGTGCAGGGCTAGGTGAGGGGGGCGTGGCAGGCACTAGAGGCTGCAGGGGTGAGGCTAGTGCTGGGGGGGCTCTGGAGGTTGAGCTAGTAGTGGGGGGCGGGACTATGGAGGCAGGGCTGGCGCTAGAGGGTCCTCTAAGGTGCGGGGGGCTGGCACAGACGTGTTCTGGATGGAGGGCTGGCACGGGGGGGGCTCTGAGAGTGGGAGGCTGGGTGCAGGCGACTCTGGGACCAGTGGCTGGCTTTGGGGGATAGTGGAGTGGTTGGGGGTTCTAGAAGATAGGGTTGGCACTGGGGGTTGCGGGACTGGGTTTTTGGCGGACTGGCAAAGTTTTATGTGCATATTTGCATATTTATCATTTGCATAATGAATATGTAAATATGCACATAAAATGCTGGTCCACCAGCAGTTTGTGAATGGGCTTGCTGGTTCCCGATATCAAAAAGGTTGGGAAGCTCTTACGTAGAGAATGTGGTCTCTTCAGGACAGAGTTAAGGTAGTTAGTTAGTGGATAACTCACTGCATTAAGGTTACCCAGCGGGTGCTTATAAACTAAAATAGTTTTCATAAATAACAAAATGTTTGTTTACTTTTTGAATTATGTATCAGAATAAAATTACTTTAGTCAGTTACACTTTCTGGTTCTAAAGCATCATAACAAATTGCTTGGGAATATCCCGAAAAGCCTGTTTTCACTGAGGCAAAATAATTCTATTAATGTAAATAACTAGGTTTTGTAAGCCACCTACCCTGTCTTTTTCTCCCCCCATTCTTCATACAAAATGTAAATGTTAGGTCTAAAACTAATTCAATATTCCTTTATGCCCCCAACAGCACTGTTGTTGTATGTGGTTTTCACATTATAATATCTTTACATTTTATGTTCTCGGAAGCCGACCACAAAGCTCTTAAAATATTGACTTTTTGTTTTAGCATAAATTTCCTCTGAAGGCCTACTTTCCTCATCATCATCAGCCTCTTGTAGTAGCCTTACTCAAACATCCTTTCGGTAAGTTCTGTCTTGAATTGTTTGTAGCGTTAATGGAAGCTTACAGTTTCAATTATTTTTCTTCACAATAAATAACCTCAAAAATAATGCACAAGAGCTCTGAAGTCAGGTTGCATGGGCAACATTAATTTTGGCATTTCCTAAGCTTTGAGTTGACTTCAACTTTTTTGTATTGCTCTTTTAATATAGGTTTTTGGATAACTCCTATATACAATAGCATAGATTTAAACAAAATTAAAACCAGAATCAAATAAGAGTAATAGAAGAAAGAAAAATCATTTTCAATTTTATAAAACCTGTGTTAGGAATTAAAACACAGTTATCAAGGACTGGAAAGGTATTCTTGTAAGCCCAATGATTATCATTGTGAAAACTCCCATAGTGAAATACAAAAAAGTCTTAGCATAATGTTGCTTTTCTCCTCTCTGAAATCTGAAAATCTGCTTTCAGTTATGTCAAATGGTCTCCATTTATTCATATCAGAAAACTAATGTTTCATGTGATACAATTTCTATGCAGAACAGGAGAACTTGACAGGGATAACAGAGAGATACTAGATTAGTATTTGAGAAACTATATACGTGTATGTATATACTTATGCCTAATTTGATAAATTGCCTGAATTTTAGTCTTGCATTTTGCAAATGAATTTTTGCCCTAAGAACATAATTTATTATAGATATGATTACAAATTATGGGAAAGTTTAAAAATGAGAAGCTACTACTGAATACTGAATCATATGTCTAACAAGTTCTAACTTGACACGGTACCCAAATGTTGTTCAGTTTAACCCTGTTTTGTTAGGTACAACTTTTCTTATTGTTTTCCAGATTTGCCAGCTGTGCTCTGGTCTCAGCACCTGAAATACATTACTGACATGCTTAAAGCAGTAGTAGAAGATAAAAGCATTAGGTAAATAAAAATATTTACAGTATTCTTCATTTCTTCCTTTTCTTCTTTTGCTATGTGAAAAGTCATACGGTTCATAATCTTGGTTGATTAACATTTCATTATCTTTAAGTTGCCATTTTCTCATTAGTTTCCAAATACAAGCTCTATTTAAGGATAAGAAAACAGGTCTAGGACAGGGATGGGCAGTAATTTTAGAAAGGGGAACCACTTCAATCAGAGCCTGGGAGCAGAGGGAGTGCACAAAGTCTCTTGCTTCCTGCCCCTGCCTTGCAAGGGGCATGCAGTGCTTAGAGTGAACCACCAGCACACCCCTAATGGGAGAGGAGAATTTGTGCGCTCCCCAATCCCTAGGCCCTGATTGGTCATCTGCTGGCTGGATCAACCCACTTGGCAGGCCAGATTCAGCCCATGGAGGCTCTCTTGTCCACCCCTGACCTAGGATATAAGGAGGCCTGCTAAACTATGAACCTTTCATGAACCTCTCTAGTTCAGTGGTTCCCAAACTTTTTGGCATCACGCCTCCTTTTCGATTTTTGAGAACCTCCTCCCTTCCCCCCAAAAAAGCAGCAAAACTTGAGGGAAAAAAGAAAGGAACTGACCAGGGACGAAAAACAAAAATAACAGCAAAACTTGGGGAGAGGATTGACCGGGAGGGGACAGGGTGTGCTGGGTCGCCTTGCTTCCCCCCTGGAATTTCTTCATGCCTCCGCAGGGGGCACGCTCCCCAGTTTGGGAACCCATACTCTAGTTCTTTTTTGAACCCTGTTATAGTGTTGGCCGTTACAACATCCTCTAGCAAGGAATTCCACAGGTTCACTGCACAGTATATGAAAAATACTTTTTTTGTTTTAAATCTGTTGCTTATTAATTTTATTTAGTGACCTGATGACATCTTAAACACATATGCATGGCAGTTCCCCTTTTACCTCCCATACCTGAGGAAAAGCTAGTTAGGAATGCCTCTCTACTGGACTGGGGAGCCCACATGGACGACCACACAGCACAACTTTGAGATTCCAGAATGCAAATACATGGAGCTGAGAGTTGTCTGGGAAGCCTGCAAGATATTCTTATCACTCATGATTCTCACATATCTAATAATGTCCAAAATCATAACTATGTTATACCAAAATATTAGCAAATAGGGAGGAGCTAAATCTATCCTTTCTGTGAACAGAGGCAGTTAACTTATGGAACTTGTGCCACTCCAACACCACTATGATTCTAAGAACCTCTCAGTATCAACCGGCAAAGGATTCACTGTTCTGTAACAGCAACTGCTATTAGGCCTGAAAAAATTACTACACCTAATATACCATTTTCATGATTTTTTCCATAAATAGTATCTTGTAACATGTCAAATGAAAGCTTGTGACACATAAGCGTTGTAAGATATAGATATGGATCATATTTAAGAATTTGGGCAGAGAGCTGCATGTATGTATTGGAAAATGTATTTCAGAATTTTTATTACAGTTTCTCATAGAATAAGGAAAGTTGATTTACATGTCTACCTAGGTCAGATCAGGGAAATTATGGGCTGCAAGCCGAATCTAGCCCACCAAAAAACCTGGTCAGCCACAATTCTCTGGGCTGCCAGTGTCCCATGCCCAGAAGGTACCTCAGGGCAGGCTCCCTGCCTGTTACACTGCCACATGCTCAAAGTGGTTGGCTGCTGGATCCAGCATGTGGATCTCTAAGGCTACATCTAGACTTCAGGCTTCTTGCACAAGAAGTTTTTTTTTTTCCTGAAGAGATCTTCCGAAAAAACCTTTTGCGCAAGAGAGCGTCCACACGGGAAAAGCGCATCAAAAAAGCAACATGCCTTTTAGACAGATAGCGTTCAGACTGCCTGGATGCTATCTCGCATATAAGCAGTGATTGCTATGGACGGAATGGCCATCAGGGCACCTGTGCTTTTTCCTCTTCCCTCTTCTTCTGAAAAAACTCCCTCTTCCCCATCCCCACGCACCTTTTTGTGAAAGAGCTCTTTCGCAAAAAGACTTCTTCCTCGTAGAATGAGGAATACCAATTGCGCAAAATCCCCTCTGTTCTTTCGATTTGCTGTCGAAAGAATGCGCTTTCAGTGTGGCTGTAACTCAGGTTTTGTCTGAAAAATGGCCTTTTTGTCAATAAAACTCTGTAGTCTAGACATACCCTGAGTGGTGCTGCCCTTTAGGGGAAGAGAGGGTCTTCACTGGAAAATAGCCAATGAGAGCTGCCTGGGCTGTGGTTCTCTACCCCTGGTTTAGGAGGCATTGTTGAACAGACGCGCACGCACGCGCACACACAAACTCTTTAAAACATATAGTAGATTACAGTGCTGTGTTGCTATATTGGAGCTGAAATTCAGTTGACTCAAACAAGTTAGGGCATATGTACTTATTGCCTTGAGTGCAGTGAACCTGTTAATTACTGTGTGCGTGTCCAGGGGCAGAGGCTGGAGGCTACAGGGGGATGCTTCTGAGGAGTTCTGAGACACACATAGTGTTACCTGAATGGCAAAGTAGTGGCAGGCAGAGCCCAGAGGAGAGTGCTGAAGGGTTGGTAGTGTCAAGGAGCTGTCACCCTCCTACCACAAGAGACTTCCTTTCATGAAGGTAGAGAGTAACACAGTGACTTAAAGTCCTAGCTCCTCAAGAAAGGGTCATAGTATACCTCTGAGCTGTTCATAGTTGATGGGTGGGCAACTTCAGTACAGGTTAAACCTCTTAAATCTGGGATTCTCTGGTCCAGCAACATCCATGGTCCATCCTGGGGGAGCCCTGGCGGGGCGTGGCAGCAGCGAGGCTGCCAGCAGCCGGTGAGCCCCATCTCTGGGAAGTCCCAGCTAGGCACGGCAGCAGCAGGGCAGCCATGGAACCCTGTCCCCATGAAGCCTCGGCTGGGCAGGGCAGAAGTGAGGCGGCAGCAGCTGGGGAGCTCTGTCCCCAGAGAGCCCCAGCCAGCTGGTGGCAGAGTACCGAGCCCAAGGCCTGTAGCAGCAGGGCTGGAGCCCAGTGGCAGTGTGGCTGGAGTAGAGCCAGCTGTAGGGAGGGAGGCAGTATCCTTGCAGGCTGGTGGCCAAGGACCTCCCCAATCGAGCATATTCCCTCATTCAGAGGTCCAACCTGTAGTTGCTTTAGCACTGACCATGGGTGGGCACTAAACAATTCCATACTTAATAACATCTTCACTCAATGGGGAACCACGGCTTGGAATCTTCTTGCATCTCACAAGACGTGAATAGCCATTAAAATGGAAATTTGTTTTGCAGATCGCATGCTGATCTCTTTGAGAGCTGGTTTTTGTTGGCTCATTTTGGAGAATGGATTGATATTGCTGTAGAGCAATTGCTGAAATCTGAAGATAAGTCCTCAGATGCTTTTCTATGGCTGCTAGCATTTTACTACAGTCCACACAATGATAAAGAGCAGAGGACTCAAACGCTGGTAGGTGGTGTAGCCAGGGCTGAGGCTGTTTAGCCAGTTGAACACCTGAAAATTGAGGTATTTATGTGGTAAGGTGGCTGGGCTTTGTAGAGTCCTCCTGGAATTGTAAAATTCTATAATAGAGAGCCTTGGCATAATTTTTGTGACTTTTTCGACTATGAACATTTAGAAAGTGGATTTTTAAAGTGTACTGTGAGCCATAATGCTTTTCTTCTGAAAAATATGAATGTGTCAAATCAGCTTGATTTGCTGTTATTTGCTATATGTGGAAGGATTTCAGAGCTCCTCTTATGTAGAATCCTATAGGATAGCCATGCTTTAAAAATGAAAACACTAATAATAATAGTGCAGCTGATCTAACATTATCCATCTAATCTGATTTTTGTTGCACTTGTCATTATAGACACTAGGTAGTGATCTGATTATATCCTTTTTTATGCTGTGTCATGACTACTTATTGTAGTTTTGATTTAAACACTAAAGGTCTGTTTCTCTAGTCCACTCCGCATAGGAACATAGGGGAGAAGAACAAAGGTGGACCTTTTGCCATTTTTACACTTCCCTAGGCTGGAGTCAGCATGGATTGGATGCCCTGAATAAGAAAAGCAGCTGAAGAACTGCATTAATTTACCCATTGCTAACTAAGACTATAGGGACTACTGCAGCAGGCATTTGGAGTATAACCACATTTTGAGCACACACCCTGTTCTTACATGTGGATGATGGAGATATGTGTGGTACGTGTTCTACCAAACCCAGGGAATCCTCCTTTGTTACATTGGTTACATTTTGCACCTTATAACCAGTGTTCCCTCTAAGATTTCCCATCCCTGAGCAGAGTGAGTTTTGTCTTGTGTACACACATTGACATCATATGCACTTATTTGGATGTGTGCCACTGTGGCACCCATTAATTTCTCACTCTCACTCTCAAATTGTTATACAAGAAAAAATACTAAACCAAGGGATAATATACAAGGTGCATGACCCTGTGGTACAGGAATCAGGGCGGGAGGGTAGGAGGTAAAGAGAGGGAGGCTCAGACCAAGGGTTGCAGGATTCAGGACAAAGGGGAGCTCAGGATGGGGGGGCTGAGAGGTTGGGGAGGTGGTGACTCCTCCCTGGGAGGAGGCTGGAGCAGGGCTGCCCATTCCTCCGGCGGTTCCTTGCAGGGAGTGAGCCAAGGACTAGGCTGCTTCAGGAAGCTGCTTGCTGGAGGGGAAAGTGGAGGTAAGTGCTGCCCAACCCCTGGCCAGCTAGCAACTATTTATGGGAGAAAGCAGCAGGACTGCCCAGCTCCCTTGACCCATGGGCGAAGGGCGGAGCTGAGGCAGTGCTGCCCAGCACTCCCAGCTGGCTGACCAGCAGCTCCTGGGGTTAAAGGGACCAGGGCTGCTGGCAGGCGGCTGCCCACGTGGACAGTGCTGCCACCGCTACCCATTATGCGGCGGCTCCAGCCCTATTTAGGGCTGCTCGAATAGCCGCCCTCACCATGCAGCTCCAGTCCTGGTTGGGGCTGCCCGAGCATTCACCCCCAGCCATATGGCAGCTCTGGCCCTGGCCATCTGAATAGCCACCCCTAGCCACACAGCTCCAGCCCCTGCCAGAGCCACCAGAGCAGGCATACCTGGTCTCACAGCTCTAGCCCTAGCCGCACAAGCAGCTGCCCTCAGCCATGTGGCTCCAACCTCAACAAGTGAAATCCAGTCTCAAAAGGATAATAATATTTCTCATACACTTTTAGTGTTATCTCATTAGTGCCATGTGGCTTCCCTAGTGTAAGCTGGGATGTAACAGATTTCAGTGAGAAATTACTTTTCCAGTGAAGCAAACACTTTCAAACTGGCATATATAGAAACGTTAATTGTGGAAAAAAAAATCAGTAAGTGCGGGGAATCAAATAGTTAAAATTCAAGAACACTGAAGGGGCTGATGTCATACTGTCTTAGGTGGTGTTTCATTTTTGTCCTTGTGTTTCCTGGTTTTTATGTAATGAACAATATTATTACAATGAAATACGTTTTGTAATAACTGCTTATGATGAACTTACAACTTCTTTTATGTAGACACCAAAATCTTCATTCTCTGTTTTAACGGTACATTTATATTGGCTGCTCAAGAGGCAAAGGAAATAAACATGTTGTAAGTAATGCAGGAAGACGCCAAATCCCATCATTCTTATCGGAAAGTTTTATCAGTTGAGGTCAGATTGCATGAGGGTTTAATTGATTTGTAGCTACAATATTGAAGTGAGCCTTCAAAGAGCCTTCTCTGTTCTTTTTCCCACAATGTAAAAATATGACTGCATTCTACTGAGGGATTTTCTCCATTTCCTTTCATTACAAAAAAGGTCAAAATCTGGCTCAATGCCCTTGGCTGCTTAGTTTGCAAGACCAAAGAAAGTAAAGCATTTTCCATTTTGCCCATTTATGTTTGTGTGAACCAGTGCGCTTCCTTCTCTGTTCTCTGTCGTGCCCCTTAAACTCAAGCTCTTGACATATTTTTGGGATTTCTTCACAGGATTCAGATGCCTGTTAGTGAACAAATCTCATTAAAAAATACCATAAACACAACTTTTTTACTCTTCTCTGATCCTTTATCTTTTGAAATTGTTCCCTACAGGTAGAAGCGCGAGCAGTGTATGATCGTCTGATGATGCTCTTCAGCTGTACAACCCTCTCCATCACAGATCTGCAGGCTGCAGCTAACACTAAAACAGATAAGAGGCAATCTTGCACCAGACACCTTGTCAGGCATCTTCTTCTTAGTTTTTTGCTCTTTTCTTCTGGTGGACACAAGATTGCTCAAGAGTTTATTTCACATGTAAGTGTTTCTGTGTTTTATCATTCACGTGTTTGAAAACTCCTTACAAAAACACTCATCACAGAGAATTAAAATCTTGTTCACTTAAATTAAAACAACTGCTAAAATACTCCCCTTCTTGAAGGTGCTTCCACAGGGTCCCACTGCAGAAGTCATTGCCTAAGCCAGCGATTCTCAAATTGAGTCAGAATCACAGGTTGTCCACCACTGCCATAGTGCAAAGGAGGCCTTAGCTAGCATAGGGAAAGCTATGCCAGTCCCTCCTACGTTCCATCCTCCCAGCAGAGAGGTTTTCTAGTATGAGCTGAGAACATATGAAAGGCAGGAGTTGGAATCACAGTGGGATGCAGAGTAGCCCTCAGGGATCAGCAGGCCGGAGAGGTGGAATAAAACTCCTCCCCATTGCACTAAGTGCTGTTTTGTTGCACTTTGAGAACTAGTCCTGGGATTTCATTACCCTTTTCCTTCTTTGTCCGAGGGGAATTTATTTTCATGCTTTGTGGAATTTTGTTGCTTTTGAGATTACATAGATTAAATATTTTGGAGGGGAGGAAGGTGGAGATAACATATAACATGTAGTGCACAGCTAGACATTATTGTACTTGGAGTAATATATCTAAATTAGATTATTTTCTTTCTTCCTCCTTTTTTTTTTCTTCAGGTGATTCTGGGAAGCAATTCTGCCAGTGAAGTTTTTGGCCTTCTTACACGTACTGCCTACAGATTTAATCAACTTGGATTAAAAAATCAAAGGACTGTGAAACTGGTGAATGAACTTCTTCAAGAGCTAAGATTTATGGATTAGTTTTATATTGTTGTTCACATCAACCCAGTAACTAGACCAGCTGATCACATCTTTTTTATGGTAAAGGGTGAGAGGGAACTCAGGTTTTTTCAGTTTATATTTCCTTCTCCTTATGTATGAAAATAGGTGTTTGGAAATGTTATTCTGTTACAAACATTTTAGATATATATTCTAATATTTTATTCTTCTAGGGACCTGTGCTATTTAAATGCTATTTATTCACAGTCTCTTTGTTGCCCACATTATGTCCTAGTAATGTGGATTTCTGTAAATTCTCATAGTTCATGAAATACAAAAGTTAGAGTTGGAAACAAAAGCTATAATAATAGGAAGGGCCTATTCCTTCTATAAATAAAAAACCCTACTGTTTGAATGTTACAAGGAAGAGATAAAGTTCAGAAAAATTATTTTCTGGTGGATTACTATTAGGTGTTTGGGAGTAATTTAACAGTTTGATCCTGAAATTCTGCTTTGGTATACTTGAGCCTGATCACAAACAAGTGATAATTAATGACTTAGAATAATATGCATGACTGGAATATTGGTATAGAATGGTACCTCTTCCCCAGGAAGGATAGGCAGATGTAAATGGGAAGAGGTGTGTTGCCTTATATATTAAAAATGAATAAACTTGGACTGAAGTTGAGATGGATTTAGAAGATAAACTTGTTGAGACTCTCTGGGTGAGGTTAAAAGGGGTAAAACACAAGGGTGATTTCATGGTAGAAGTCTATTACAGACCACCTAGCCCCGAGGAAGAGGTGAATGAAGCTTTTTTTTAAAGTAACAAAATCATCCAAAAAGCACAGGACTTGGTGGTGTTAGGGGATTTGAAATATCCAGATAAATGTTGGGAAAATAAAACAGCAGGGTACAGATTATCCAACATATTCTTGAAATGTATTGGAGACAATTTTTTATTTCAGAAGGCAAAAAAAGCTACTGCGGAAGGCTGCTCTAGATTTGATTTTAACAAATAGAGAGAAACTGGTTGGGAATTTGAAAGTAGTTTGCTTGGATCCGGCTCCCGAGGCTCAGAGCTTCCCTCACCTCACAGCATTGGGGAGCCCGCACTGGCACTCTTGCCCCCTTGCTGCCTCCCCGTAAGGCTGAAGCACACAAAACCTACTAGCCTGGGCCCCCCATAGGCTCTGGTGTGCGAGGGGAATGTGGGCAGTGTCTTTGTCTTTTAGTCAGGGCCACAGCAGTGAGAATTCAGGGTTTTTCTTTGGGTGATGTCCTCGTGGGTGCTCCAGAGTTTCTTTGGGTGATGTCCTCATGGGTGCTCCAGAACTGCAGTTCGGAGCTTTTCTTAGCAGTTGTCAGACAGGCTGCGCATGCTTGAAGGCGGTTCGCTCTATTGGCTGTTTGCTGCCCTGTATACACAGCCCAGCCCCTCTCCCCTTCAGTTCCTTGCTAACCACCCTTGGTTATGGATGGAGCCCCTCTCTCGTCTCAGACATTTACTCTCTTCAGACACGTTTCTGTTAGTGTTTAAATGTTATAGTTTAGTCGATGGTGTGCTAGTTTGTTATTCTATGGGAAAAAAAAATCCTCAGCCTTGGTTCTGGTGGACTGCCTCCTGGCGGCAGCTACGTTTCTTCTCATGCCCATCTAGTTTCTCTTTTCCCCTCCCCAAACACTGCTCTCCTATTGCATCTTGTCATTACCACCATTGCCGTGAGAGACCATACCACCCACAGTGATATCCTGACTGGCCTTTTCCGCCTCTTCATTATCCACCCCATGGGATTATTGGAGACCCCCCAGACGCTGCTCTAGAGCCCCATCTATATCTCTAAAGAGGCTTCCACCAGTCTTCCCATCCCACGCCCTTCTGACTGCAGATTCAGAAGACAAGGAGGAGGGTCAAATTCCTGACGAGCACATAGACACGCAAGCCCTGCAGCTTTCCTCAGGTGACAATTCATCCTCCTCTCCCAATGAAGCCGTAATACTGGAAGATACCCATTCAATTGATGACTTGAAACAACTTGAGGAACTCTAAAAGAGCGGCCACTACTTAGGCAGTTCAGCTTCAGGAGGTAAAGGAGAAACAGCGTTGTCTCCTAAAGAACATTGTCCCTCCTCTCAGGGAAGGATTGCATACCAATTGATGAAGAGGTAATGGAGATATCGGACGTCATTTGGTAGACACCTGCCTCCATCCAGCCAACTTGCAAAAAAGCTGACAGGAAATATTTTGTCTCTTGCAAGGACTTGGACTTTCTGTTCTCCCACCCCAGCCAAACTCTTTGGTGGAAGATGTAGTGAATCAGTGCTTGAAAACTCCGCAACTCAAGTTGTCAACAAATGACAAAATATAGAAAATTAGACACATTTGGAAAAAATGTGTGTGTTTCTTGGCCACCCTGCTGCTCAGAATAGCGAACTACTCTGTGTTGCAAGCTAATCACTGCTTTGACAATTACTCCAAGCTGGCCGAACTGTTGGAGCATCTGCCCGACTCTAAGAGGTCCACCCTCAGGGCAATCATTCATGATGGACACACCATCACCTGTATGACACTATTATCAGCAATAGATGTGGCCGACACAGAGGCGAGAGCAACAGCCACAGCAGTGGTTAGGAGGAGAACCTTCTGGTTGCATGCAGCAGGTGTGCCCAGGGAGCTTCAAATGAAGGTGGAAGATCTCTCTCTTGTCAAAATGAAAGTTGTTTGCTGCTACCACAAATGACATCCTACATAGCAGTAAAGCTTCTCACACCACTCCACACTTTGGCATGTACACACCACCATGCCAGCGAAAGAGATACACTCCATAAAACAGGAACAAAGGCACTTACTACATCCGTCCTCAGCATAAGCCATATGACTACAATAAACCCAAGCAGCAGTATCAGAGGAAGTACCCATCTCAGTCATGCTCCTACAGTTCCCAGACCTCCAAACAGCAAATTTGAAGTTTTGGTCAAGGATCTGCCCAACCTTCCCAACCACCCAGTGATAAGCTAGAAACACCTGTTAGACCACAGGCTATGTCCCTTTTTTCCACCTCTTCAAGGACCCCTTTCACGAGATCCCTCAGTAAGAAATTGAGCAGCTCCTCCACCTAGGAGCAATAGCGAGGGTATCTGATGCATACCAAGGAAGAGGGCTTTATTCAACTTCCTGACCCAAAAGCGCACAGGGGGCTGGAGAACAATTTTAGTTCTCTGGAAGCTAAACAAGTTCTTATGGAAACAGTGCTTCAAAATGGTTACACTGGCTTCAATTATTCCTACATTGGGCAAAGGAAAAATCAGTTGAGAACTGTTGTCTGTTGCATCTTTTCATGTATTGATTGCAAAGTATACACATGAGTAAAGCAGGCATTCTAGTTTTCATCTTCCTAGATGTTGCTTCCGAAAGGCATGGAATAGATCTGAAATTAAGGAGGCTGTTGCTGTTTACTTAAAAAAAAAATATCTAAGGAATTTGTCCAGTGGGAAGACATGTGTGGAATGTTCTTCCTTGTATGACAAAGAATCTAAAATTAATTTCTTTCAAGGAAGAAAGTTGGTTATTTGCTTTGCTCATTACTCTTTTTGCTGGATCTTGTTTTCTGTGGCTTTCCTGAACTCTTACATTGTACTTACTCCCATTCAATAGACTTTTAATATAAAACTTTAAAAACAAAACTACAAAGAGGTGTGTTACTTAACCCTCTTGATTCAGAATTTGGTCCATACTAAGCATATTGTATTCATTTATATTCTTTGGTTGCTGGAAGTGAACTGCAGTCATGTGAAACAACACATTTCACAGTTCAGTCACTGCAAAGCAAAATCTAAAATAATTCCTCCTTTTTAAAAGAAACCTATAATATCCTGTCTAATAGTGGTAGGTTGACTCACATAAGTAGTTAATGTGCAAGGATGGCTCAGGGAAAGGAAACAAAGAAGTGAGAAATCATATTCCCATTGTTTTATATGTTGGCTTCTTAAAAAGGATTACATGATTTAAAGATTTACTGTTTAAAATGCTTCTAATCTTTGTATTGGACTGAACCCACAATTATTTCTGCATTAGGGTTTTAAAGACTCCCACCACATCAAAATTGGAAAAAAAACAACCAAAAAACGATGCATTTAAATCTGACTTTATTGTACCTAATGAACTATAAAATAATGAACAAGTTAAAACTTTTCTAGATTCAGAAGTACACTGCACAAAATTGTGTTATGAGTCTAGCAGACCTCATGTGTAGACAATGAACATAGTTTAGACTATAGTTAGAATATAGTAAGACACAGCAACAATTTAAAAGGCACAAGAGCAGCTCTGAAATGCAGCAAGTAAGTGACATGTTCTGAACATACTTCTTTACACAGCATGTTTTTGATGTATTTTTCTGGAAGAGATGTAACATCTTCCCCAATTCTCAGATTCTGGATCAGTACCCAGCGCAGTAGACAATACTTCCCTACCAGTCTGATACAAGGCTGCAGTATTCTGTTCCTGCACTAGTAGTTTCATCATTTCTGTACTTCATCTCTGAGAAACATCTGTATCTTATGCAAAGATTCATTATGCCATTTTTGATTCAACAAAATCTAAACATATATGTATCCAGACATACAATGTGCAGGTTCACTACAACAGCCAGTTTTGGTCCCAGTAACAGCAAGTCTTTGCCACAGTTACAGTATCTATCAAGTGTTGGTTGCCAGAAAATGTATATGACAATTGTGACTTCCCCAGAAACTCTTCCTAAGAAGAGTTAAGTTTCCCAGAAAATCAGTTTGACAGTGTTATCTTCAAAGAAACTTGGTTTTCTGGCAATTGTTATGAAACATAAGGTTAATGCTGTCTGGTGGTCTAACAGACCCTCCAAGACTCAGATGGTGCTCTTTATTTGAAAAGCAAAAACTCCTCAAACTATGATGCTTCAAACACTGCTGAAAGAGTCATATCATAACTGTTTCCTCAGAATAAAAACAATCTGATGCTGGAATAC